TCCTCACTGAGATAAATACAGACTGTTTTTTGTAAATAAGACAGAATGTTGTAGTTGTCTCAAGATTTACTGTAAGTGAAACATCACATTACCTTAGTTACTACTTAGGGGAACAAGTCAGTGTCTGATTGAGCCAAGTTGGATTATAGGATGTAGGACAGGTATGCATATTAAGAATTTGGAAGACCCATAAAAATTATTCTTTTCCTACTATGATGTTACCCTGTCATTTTTTGTTATGATATAGTTATGTACTAAAATCCCAGAACCCCATGCTTTACTCAAGTCATTTCATGAGACATACTAATATATGTATTGAAACATTTTAATCTATAAAATTGCTTATTTCATTTTATAAGGATTACAAATTTTCATTTAAAGTTTATTTGCATGCTCTTTGTTTTGAACTCTTTTTTAACTCAAACAATATATTTCCCTTTTTTTTGGTTGTTTTGTCAGCCTAAAGGGGCATTAGCCCAGAAGGGCTATTAGTCTCAATACGTAATTTTGCGTCGAATCGTTTTTCAAACTGTTGCCACTAAATATTATTGCTCTGTATTATGTTTAAAGAAATTAAATAATAATTGGCTTGAATGTATGTATATTTCTTGCATTGTAAAAAAAATAACGGTGCTTAGAACCATCAAATTTTGAATAATAGTCCTCCACTCAAATATGGGCACCTGGAATTTGTTTTATTTTATTTGCCCAATGTTTGTTGAATTTAGGATTTATTTCATGTTTTGTAAAACTTTCGCGAATTTTTGATTAAAAAACTCAACAATTTCAAAGCGAATTATGGCATTGTTATATGGAATAAAACGTTTTTATCTCCTTCATGCAAGACTATCGGAAATTCTAAAAATATCCTGTTTTTAAATATTTTTAGCCCAAATGGTCTGAAAACATAAAAAAAAGCCCCCTTTGGGTGTAATATAAAGTCTGAAAACTTTCAGATTTTTTTAAATGTTTATTTTGAGAATATACCCAGTAGATATTTTTCTGTATCTAATCTTAAAATGAATTCTTACCTTTTTTCATACTAAAGTTAATCAGCATAGTTATGCTGAAAATGCAAACATTTTCATAAATTGAACCAAGAATGTAAAAATCATGGTTAATTTATGCACAGGAAATACTTATGTGGATGTTGAAAATTTAATAATTAATCTTCTTGAAAAAACTTCTATGTATTAACTAAAATTTAGCATACTTAAATTAGTAACTTTATGCTTTACAAACTGACATGAACTACACATTATGTCAAACATGTAGACAATATTTTGGTAGACACAATTGTACCACCAACAAATAATGTTGCATTAAATCTTTTTAGATTTCAAAATAACTGATATTTTTTAATGTAGAAAAAAAAAGGTGGTAAGCTGAGGCATGTTTTTTGGGGGGAGGGGGGGGAGTTATCACTGATGTAATGGACAGATACAAGGGTGAATCAAACATAAACGAGCCCTTTGGTTAAACAAAATTTATTTCTGAAAATTATTTTTCTAAATAATCTCTTCCTTTTATGATACATTTTACCCAATGCTTTGGTAATTTTTTCATTCCATTCTCGTAGAATCAAGCTGGATGGGTATCTAAGCAGTTGTTCACGAATGTTTCTACTTGATCGTTGATCTCAAATTGCTTGCCTCCAAGTGCTTCTTTGAGGGTTCCAAACATGTGAAAATCACATGGTGATATAAGTCTGCACTGTAAGGTGGATGATAAAGCATTTTCCAGTGCATATCCACCAGTTTCGGCTATGTTACACTTGCTGTGTGGCGTTTAGCATTGTCATGGAGGATCATCACCTCGTGGACAGGACAATCTCATCTTTTGCTTCAATGTTGAAGCATAATTTGACCCAAGAGATAGCAGTATTATGCTGCATTGATGTTCTGATGTCCGTATAAGAAATCCACGAGTAGGATCCTCCTCCAGTCCCAAAACACCATGGCTAACACTTTCCCTCTTCTGAAGCCCAACTGCTTTCTGATATTGGACACTTCCATAGCTGACACCAAGTTCTTCCAAAATTTGAAGCATTGTGTAGCACCGACCTCATTCAATAAGTTCACGAACACTTGCAATCTTTTCATTAGTTGCATTGGTGCAAAGATGACCTGGATTCACAATGCATTCACGGTCTTGCCTAAATTCATTGCGCCAAACCTTCACTCTTGACCATGAAAGGGTAACTTTTCTGAACTAGCATGCAGTATGCAGTAAATTTTGCCTGGTTTCACATTTGCAATTCATAGATGAGGAACTTAACAATTATACTCTTCTCAATAGAGACAGGCACAGTCCTGTCATTCATTCCAAGGGCTGCTAAAAAAGCATGGGAGAAGCTGCGTGCTGTTTTCCCTAACTCTAAGCAGCCCCACCTAACGACTTCAACGTATACAAATACCTATCCTAACGCTCAGCCAACAAAGGCTTGTTCATATATGAGCACCTATGTAAACTGGCCCATCTATATATAAACTCTGTAAAGAAACTGATATACATAAACATCCAAACTATATGCACTAATTTGCTTCTAACACTAATTCATGAAGTGTTAGTTTGTAAAGTATAATTATCAATTTGAATTTTAGATTGAGTTTTTATGATAGTGGAATTTACTGGCCAACTGTTTTACATCAAGCAGAAAAATTTATGAAATTCAACTTTATGCAATCCAAGCTACCATGTTACTGAAGAAAGAAAAAAGTAAACTTAGAACTTATCCTAGAGATCTTGCAACTTCCACTGAATGTTAAGCAAGAATCAAGTTAGTTTAAAATATTTGAAAATAAGTTTTTGTACATCCAAGGGAAATAAAACTCAAGATTGAAGACAATATCAGAAATTGGATTATCAGTATTTCATTATTCAACAACTATTAGTTTATCTAAAAATTAAATATTACATTTTTTATTCTGAAGCTGCTGAGGAATTCCCTGAAAGTGTACAGAATCAAACCAAAGTACCGATAGGAAACTAGCTTTGACATGCCATATTAATATCAAGACTATTCTAACAACTCATTGTTTTTAGATAAATATTTTATTATTACTTATGAATAAGATAGTATGGAACTTTGTAAAATACTTAAAAGATTTATAAAAATTGAACAAATAAATACTTTTACATTGCATTCTTAGTGGAGACCAAGTGGATCATGAAGAAGAAGTTCTAATTTAGAACTCTATTAAATTTACAAACAACCTGATATTGTAAAATTCGTCAAATTACAGAGACCTAATGGGCTGTCCATCTGGTTAGAATGAATGAAGATTGTTGCTGCAATAAAATCTTTTTGGCAAAACCCATGAGAAATAGACCTCTGGGCAGATCCCTGCTAAGATGGATTGATTGTGTCGAAAAAGATCTTGATATTTTAAAGGTTAAAAACTGGAAAACAATTGCCAAAAGCAGAGATGCCTGGAGAAGGCCAGGGTCCACCCAGAGCTGTCGAGTCATTGAAGAAGAAGAACAACAAATGAATATAACAAGCAAATGAATATAACAAAGGGCAGAATGATTGGGAAAAGAGCGCCAGGGGTAAATGTTTAAGTTTTGGCTCATAGATGGCACTCCACCATATAGACTATAACTCATTGTCAGAATGGTACTAAAAAGAATTTATTCATATACAAAAAAACTATTTCACATCAAAATGATATTATTTAAGGTCTTTGTCAACAGAAAGTTATTTAATAACATATTTATTTTATTATGGTTATTAGTATGGTAGAGAGTCATCTAGCAATAGTTTGAAATAAGCATTGATCCTCTACCAAAAGAACATACAGTTTTCATTGGGAAATATTTTTGTGCAAATGGCTGTCTGTTGTAATAATTTCTTTTGGTTATTTATAAATTTCTAGAATCATTATCATAGCTACAGATCTTCTACACAACACCATGTCAAAAGAACTCCAAATTGACTTTCTAATGCATTTGGGTAGTTTTCTTGCATTTTTATAATAAAATTCAGGGTAGAAAAGAACTTTTAGTTATGAAAGTGCTTTTAAATGCAATGAAAATAAAATTAATAAAAACATGGATAAATTTAGATATGTATTATTTATTGATCTAAAATAAAATTAAATACAAATATTAAGATTAAATAGTGATTGAATCTTCATAAAAAGTTCTACAAAGATTATACTAAGTTAAGACAGTTCAGATCAAATAAAAAGAAAAATAATGCCAAAAATCATTAGATGTTGAGGAGTAGAATTTGTACAATTTAATTTTTTGCTAGGAAACATTTTCCTTAGTAATGGCTAAAAATTAAAAACTGGGAGATGCAATGAAAAACTGGAAGGGTTGGTAACTATGCATTATGGATTTTTAAACAATTCTATAGATGGAAGATAGTTGATCAGACAATTATTTAAACAGCTAAACTGTACTATTTTTATTTGGTATTCTTTCAGTGTTGGAGTATTATGAAATTATGTTTTATTCAGATAATTATATATGTAACTTGTTAAAGTTAAATTTTATCAGGAGTATTAAAAAGAAAAGATTTAAAAAAATTCTTATATTGCTTTTTATTGAAATCAGATAATTATTATTTTTTTAAAAATTTTTATTTAACCTTTCTATTTCAGCACTTTTGTTTATAATTAGGCCTTTTTTATGATGTGAATTTTTTTTTGAGATATTATGTATTAAAATAGATGATTCTGTTTAAAAACTAATATTTTAAATAAAATTATGGAGAAAATATTCATTACCCATAAAAGAATTTTTAAAAATACACAAAATATTCAGCCCCCCCCCCGAAAAGAATACAACTACAAACACAAATTAGAAATTTATGAAAACTTATTTTTTAAGCCTTTAAAATTGCATCAGTAATTTGGTGAAAAAACACCTTAGCCAATGACCATGCTTAGTAAATTGGGGGGATTAAGTGTTTTTTCTAAATGGTTATAAATTAAAAACTGTTTTTATCAGTCTTTATGTATTGTAGGCACACACAAATGAAAAAACAGATATTTTAAAATATCAGGGTTGTACAATTTATTAAAAAACTTTCATACTTGATATTTTCAAGACAAACTTCAACAAATTAGTATATAAAAAATATTTCACATAAATTTTATGTATTGTAGGCAAACATAAATGAAAAAAGATATTTCAAAATATCAGGGTTGTACAATTTATTAAAAAAACTTGATTTCATACTTGATATTTTCAAGACAAACTTCAAATGAACTAGTATACAAAAAATATTTCACATAAAACTTACTTTGTCAACATCTATAAACTTTTACATATTTCATCACAACAGCATAAACTTTACATAACATAATAATTTTCCTAAATACAATCAGTATTTATCAAATTGGTATTTCAAAATTCCATTTGAAGATGATAGACTTTACAAATTCCCCAGAACCAACATAAACAGTAGCATGTTTAGAAGTTAATATGAAGCTTCCATTTTTAAGATTCATTAACAATAAATTACATCTATTGATGCATTAAATTAGGTGTAGAAATATGTTTCCTTTTCTTGCACTACTCATAAGAACAATAGTCACTTATGTCAATGAAACTTTTTCCACCTGAAATTTTCAGTTAGTGTTTTTGTTAACTTGGCTTATTTACAAGTAATACAATAACATTAAAGAAATACATAATTGTTACATATTACAGTTAGAAATATAAATTTAAACAGAATAAGTAATTTAGCAGACAGGATAACTTTCTAGAACCAGATATGGAATTTTATGCACTGGAATCTAGATGCTTTACAAAAGAACATTTATCCAGTATTAGATGCTTCGGGCTTTCAAATCTAGCATTCAAATTTTAGTGCAGTTTTAGTCATCCGAAGGCATAAAAATTTATACTAATTCATATAATATTCCTGAACACTAATTATGGATTTATTCAAACTTCTTTTTGTCTTTATAATTTATGTAAAAGCTCAATCTAGATTAATAAGAAAAAGTCATATTTTTGGGCTTGAACATAATTTCAAACATACTTCTTTTCTCTTATTACTTAATAGGCAGTCGCTAAACTTTCTTATTGAGTACTTAATGTATGCATACCTGCCAACCTCTAAAGATAAAAATTCAGAAGATTTCTCCAAAATTCAGAAGAACATGAAGAATTAATTATTTGATTATTAAAAAAATAACAATTTATACAAATAGAAAATTGTACTTACATTAGTAAATCTCAATTAAGTAGTAACTAAAATATTTATTAGGAAACATAAAACAAAAACTTAATGTTACACAAAAAAAATTATTGCAATGAATTTAGAGTGCATTTTTTGGCTTTATCCAAACATTCTTTGGAAAATTTACTGTCATAACAATTAGTTTCCTCATAACATTTAGCAATTAAAATGTTTTCTAGAATTTTGGTGAAATTGAGGAACAAAACATAATTTTGTTTTTCTTCACCACACTGAAGACTCTCTCTCGCACTCAGCATTACTGCGTGGAATTACGAGAACAGCACATAAAACTCTTGCTAGTCTATCATATTTTGGTGTTCCATCAGCTCTGTTTATTCTTTTTAAGGTACCAACGAGGACATCAAGTCTATCTTCTCCAGAACTGGCAAAGTCTTCAAACTGTGCAGCAGAAAATTAGTTCTGTAGTTCATCTAAAGCATCATTATGGCATTTATTTTCTTTAATTGTTAACAAAAATGGAAATTTATTAATAAAAAAACGAATCTTTTCAAAAGATGAATTTTCAATTTGTTTCAAATTTGCCACTTCAGCATTTAAAAGAACTTCATTTTGCAAAGGAAACTTCCTTACACACTGCTATCTCTTGGGTATTTTGCAAAGTACTTTCTAACACATTGAAAAAATTCTTTTTTCTCATGATCTTTCAAAGAATTTACAAGTTCCCTGGTTCGATTTCCAATTATAAGATCATTGTCATCCTTTTGATTTGCCAAACTATTATAGGCAACACGAATCAACACACTGTTTTTCACAACGGACGATTTTACAAACTTACTACAGTCAAAAGTCGTTAATCCGGACTCGTCGGGACTTCGGCGATTCCGGATTATAGATCATCAGTTTAAATTTCGTAAGATGGCATGCAGAAATTCTAAAATTAAAAATATGAAACCGTAATTTATGAAATAAAGAACAATTATGATTTAAAGGGTATCAAAATTTACAAAAAAAAAAAAAAAGCTTCATATTTATTTGTTTACTTTATTAAACATTTCTTTCAATGTAAGTTGTTTCGTTTTATGTGATAATACTTCTCTTTAATTCTATAAACAGACATAATTTCTTGTTCAGTTACAAAGTTCCGCTGTTCAAGTCCCGTTAATTGCTGTGCCGAGAATACCGACTAACTTGTCAATCGAAATTTTTTCGTTTTCACTAACCTCTCTGTCACATTCTTCATGTCTTTATCCATTTTTTGCAGCAATTCCACTTTTTGTTTGTTGGACATCGAAACATACTTTCGTTTTGTAGATCCTTTGGAAGTTCCAGCATCGGAAATTCTATTTGACATAATCGAAAGTTCAAGTTTACTTTTATAAAATTGCTCTTACAGTCTGCAAAAAATAATAAGCGCGATCCAATTCGAAGATTAAGGAACAACGCAATCATTAACATTAACTGAAATAGATAATTAGATAATTTTAGCTTACACCGTCCGTTATACATTAAACGCGCAGGCAAAAACGTATTCTGAACTTGCGCACACGCATATGCGCAGTAGTCAAGGTCTTACGCGCACGTGTAAAACGCCTGTGCGCATGTGCCAATGCGACGCATGCGCAGAAAGTTTTTAGCTTTGAGGTCCGGATTATGGGTGTCCGAATTAACGACTTTTGACTATAGTTTTTGATATAGTTTTTTCAAAAGATCATTAAGAATTTGGATATGCAGGGGAGATTTTGGCGAAGCTGATTGTAGAAAGGTATTTACACTTTCAAAAATCTTAATGGTACTTAACACAAAACTACAATATGCTTTGTTTAAATCCGAAGAAATAGACCTGGCTAATAGAAGACTGTTTCTTCTTCCCTTCAACTTCTTTAACAAAGTTGACCTTTGAGGAGTCTTCTAAGCATTTTCTTTTTAAAGGGTTTGATTCTGTGTGTTGGCTTTTCCCTTTTAAAGCATTTTGATTAGAAGCAAAGTTGGTTTTCGGAATCTTATATGCCGACAAATTTGATGGGATCTGTGGTTTCGTTTCTTCGTGGAAATATTTTAGCAATGCATCCCACTGTTCAATAAACCTTCCTAGCGCTCTGCCTAAGGATAACCATCTCGTGCATACATGTTTCAGAATTTTTCTCGTTTCACCAGAGCACAGTTCTTGTAAATTCTTTAGGTTTTCTTTCCTTTTCACACTTTTTTCCAGATAGAAAAAACACATCAATCAGAAGCTGGTCAATATTTAATGGTAAAGCAGCTGCAGCTTTTTCTGCTGCCAAATTAATTAAGTGGCATGGGCATCCAATAACAATTAATTCATTTTGTTCTTTTTTGAAGAAAGAGGCTACACACTTTTTTGTCACCCACCATGACATGAGCATTATCTGCAACCAAATGAAATGCAGTTTGATATTGGGATGTTAAGTTGTTTCAACTCATTAATTACCAAGGAGGCAATATTTTCCCCCGTAGCGTCTCCATTTAACAATGGAAGACGCAAAAGATGAGTTTTCATTTCATTAGAAACATCACAGAAATATGTGACAACGATGGGGTAAAGCTTCCAATCGCTGTCGTTGCTGCCATCGATTGACACCGAAAATGCTGAATTCTGGAGTGCAGCTATCGTTTTACTTTGTGCATCGCAAGCAATTTCGTTCACAATAGATGTTTTCATGCGTGTACAAGCATATTTCTGAGCAATCTTGGTGTCGGGGAAACATCCGTCTGAAAAGTTGACCGGCGTGATCGGCACGTTGTGTTCGATGAGGAATGCAGTAAACAAACACTCTGCCAAAATGACATCGGCATCCGAATTCGTAGCCGAATTTGAAAAAATCATCCACTTTCTTTGACGTTGTCGAAGCCGAAGCATTAACTTCACGCTTTTTAGACTTAACATGCTTCACAATGTCACTTCTTCCACCGTGACTTATTATGAAGTCACACACGCACACGTTGCAAAATGCATAGTTATTTTCTTTGAAGGATTCTTTAATTGTTGGAAATTCGGGTTTGTAGGCAGGCCGAAAATATTGAAAATACGGTTTTTTTGAACTCATTTCGTAACAATGAGTAATTCCTTTGCTGCTGAAGCGAACGCAAAAAAAAAAAAAAAAAAAAAAAAAAAAAAAAAAAAAATCTGGCGCCCACAAAGAAAAGAGTGGGAGAAACAAGTTCAGCGCATTGGATATGCTGGTTAAGCGGCGAGTTGGGAGAAACCGCAGGTTACTGGATTCGAAGTAGTCGGTAGTCGGCGGTAAAACACGATGCAATTGGCGAAAAATTCTAAAATTTCGACAAAAATCACCAAAAACACTTGAAAAAGGAAAAAAATCGTAAAATTGTAAAGACAAACACATTTTCATAAAAATTACGAAAAATTCGTAAAAGTTGGCAGGTATGTGTATGTAATGCGTAATGCTTATTTCTTATACATAAACCATTAAATTTTTTTATATAAAGTCTGTAAAAAGCACATAAAAAATGGAAAATCTTTTACACTGAAGTATGATTTGCACTGGAAGTAGTATTATGACAGAGAAATTTAAGTGAAAGTAGTTTTGAAAATTTATGATAGATAGTGATATGCAATGGAGATTAACATAGAAGGGCTGACTGGTTAGAGATTCTTTTCTTTTGATTAGAAAATCAAATGTGTTTGTAACAATGTTAGCTTTCCTAGAGAGTTAATGAAACTTTTTTTGTGTGGATGGATATAGAATTCTGATCTTAGAAAAGTACTACCATATGTGCTGGGATATACTGGACCTTGCCAGATGATTTACAGAAACTATTTAGAGGAGCATCTGCAATCTAGATGATCAAAATTAAACACTTGTGAAGCAATAAGTTGACTGCTTTTGTGATTTCCTACATCCTGTATAAAGCATTCCCTTTCATGATGCTTTGAATTTTATCCCTACAAATTATAATCATTTACTTCATTGAATTTTAGTGCTAGAAACCACAAAGGAAAACACTGGTTAGTTTGTCAAAATGCATAGCCATAATAGCTGCATTATATGCCTCATATAGACGAGTCCTACTTTTCGTTACATAAAGATGTCCACACATTTATTTGAACCCAGATTATAGATGGGGAATAATAATAATAGGCAGAAATCAAACCTGCATACTAACCATCCAGAAAAGGCAACACCCAGTAGGATCCCAAAAGGTTATTTCAAGCAACATGAGTAGCTTTCCAACATTTGCATGCCTAAACTGCAACAAGTATACGTAGTACAGCTTGTGAATCAGCCGAAACACTCTACAAATCTATTTCATTTTAATCATGTATTGCAATATTTTAAACATAACATTCCTGTAAAATATAAAACTGTTGTATATGAGCAACTACTCATTCATAAGCCTATATAGTGCAGTTACTTCACTCACTACAAGGAACACTGTTGTGGTTTCACTGCTTTCTACTTTTCAGGGCCTTTTTTCTGTAAGCAATATGGAATACCATTTGTACTGCAGCTCGAATATGACACGTTTGTAAGTTTACTAGACAGAATGAGATGTTTAGAATCACATTTATGAAATATTCAGTGACAATGGAGTTACCATAAAGCACTTGAGATCCATGGCCTGTTTGGTTTCTAGATTTGATACTAACATATTTCTAGATGTGGGGATAACTGAAGTTTAGAAGAAACTAGTTAGAATTTTGTAAACTGTCAACAGCAAGATTTCATTAGCAATAAAGTGAGTTTCAGCCATTCAGAAATGCAATTATAGGTGTTTTCACATGTCTTGCAGAAATCAAGTTTTTATTTCAGTAGCTAAACTAAATGTATAGTTTTCGTTCCCTTTCCAATATCTTAATGTACATTTTCAAACTATAAGGTCTTCCTATATATTATACATGTATATAAAAAATCCTCCATCCTGATAATACAGTACAAACCACATTTTAGTGTAATACTAAGATTATTAATTTAAACTATTAATACAAAACAAGCGACCAAAGCGTAATAATATTACCTCATTGCCATTTCCAGTGTCTGCATTAATCAAGCATCATCAAACTTCATGTTAACCTACAAAACAGCATATTTGTAGATTTGAATTCAAAGGACAAAATATGGAAAGATCAGATATTTGATTTATATAAATTTATCCAATATCTAGACAGACAGAACACTAAGTTTGTAAATTTATCTGTATAAATCTGAATGTGAATGCTTTCAATCCAATTTTAGTGAAAAAAAATAAGTACGTTTATAACCATTTTAGCATTTTTGATATTTATTTTTTAAAAAAAAATTATTTTCTCTATGAGTAGATTTATAACATTTAATGAAAAATACCTTTATTTAATTTATCAACAAACTTGCATCTACTTTGTCCTCTAATAACAAAAGTTACATACTTAATAGCAATTGAATGTAAAATAATGTAATTGCAAGTAATGAAATATCGATGATGGTCTTTGTACTATTTTCAGACTGATTAAATTGATTTACTGCCTCATATTATAAGCACAGTTCTTTATGAAAAATTGAAAGAAAAATAAGTAGCTATTAATGTTGATTGTGAAATATTTTTGAATTATATATATATATATGTTTCAAAATAAAGTAATTAAAAGTGAATTAAAAAGCCTATGACTCGCACTAAAGCTGCACACACACACACACACACATATATATATTATACACACACAAATACACTAGTGTGCGAAACTTAAGCAGCTTTTCTGATTGGCCATAATATCCTTAAAAATGAAATGAGAGGCATGAAACTCATACTACAGAGGCACAATGTAGTATTTAAAGATTGAGGGAAGTATAGTAGCAAAAAAATGAAGATGATGCCTATAGTAAGAAACAAAGAGAAAAAAAGCTTTATTGACAGAATGGCATTGGTACAAAAAAAAAAAAAAAAAAAAAAAAAAAAAAAAAAAAACTGTTTTGCCAAGAGGGAGAATAATAAACCAAAGAGCCTTAACAAGGATATGGAACATCCTAACTGCACCAGTTCTTGGGCTAAGAGGTCACATTCTTCAAGGAGCATCTCTGTCAGTTGTCTGGTATTCTCTGGAGGGTAAGATCATGTTGCCAAGTATTTTTCTAAAGTATCCCACACATATTCAGATGAATTTAAATAAAAAAGCAAGCTGGCTAATCTATTCTGTGGATATCTTCACTTTCTAGGAGCTCCTCAATAGCATGAGTCCTGTATGGCAGTGCATTGTCATCCATAAAAACAAAGATACAAACAAGATAAATAGCATCTCAGAAAAGTCGCACATGGGGAAGGATGACTTCACCACTGTAACGATCTCTGTTGAAAATGTGGTGCTTTTCTCCATCTCTTCATCATAATGCCTCCCCAATACAAACATGCCAGTATCACTCCAATGGTCTCTTTTCCTGAAGTCAGCTGGATGAAGACATGCTCTTATCTCTTTCCATATCAACTGGTGCCGAAAATCGTTTGTCAGACTGAAAAAAACTCTCATCGGTAAAGAGGATGTAACTCCATTGATGAGGTATGTCATCTTTGTGTTCTCTCCACCACTGTAAATGGTGCTGTGAATGATATGCGGCATTTAGAATAGTGGGTGAATAGGTCATTTTTATGAAGTCATCTGGCCACAATAAACTGAGATGCCTATTGTCCAGTTGCCGTGTACAACTGCTGAACAATGTTGCCTAAGTCTGGTTTCACTCTCATTTGGCCAGTAGGTCAGTGGTATTGACCTGTAGTGACTGTCAGTAGTACTGACCTGTAGGTCAGTAGGTTTCACTCTCACTTCCTAGGTCACTACTGTTTCCTTTGGCTGACCACCATCAATCTTTCTTACAGCTGTATGGGTCGTTTGGAAGGCTTTTCAAGCTCGTGAAACAACACTTTTATCAATTTCAAACGCTTGAGTGATAGACATGAAATTATGCCCTCCTGAAGCTTACCGATCATTCTACCACATATAAAGACATCCTGATGTTTTCTTGTAGTCATAATACATGTATTGTTGTGTATTGAGATAACAGCACTTAAATCTAATCTAACAGAGAAATGGTGCATGCCAAGCGAGTTTGAACCGAGAATGAGACTATGAAAGTCAGTCGTAGAGTTTTACACATTTATGTGTAGTGAGGATTTTTTTTTTTTTTTTTGTGTGTGTGTGTGTGTGTATAAATAAAGTGTTTTGTGAAATTAATAAAGCATCTTGTAAAAAGAATATATGATGAAAACTCAACAAATTGGCAACCAGCCTACACAAGGAGCTTTTCAGGAATGGGAGATGCACTTTTGTTTTCGGATAAGGAATTTCCCGCAGACAGCTCAAGGTAAAGCTTTATAATAATTTTTTTTTCAGAGGAATTAAACATGGAGCAGCTTGTAACTGAACTAACAGAGCAAAAGAGAGCTTTGATGGGTAAAATTACTTCAGATGTTTCTCCACAAACTGATAATTCCGAACTTTCCGTTCAACTAAAATAATACAGAATGAAGAACAATTTGATGCATAGGTGGAAATTATTTAGATTAACAAAATGTTTCATGTGAAAACGTGGAAAAGTATAGATTTCTAGTTTGTCCGGAAGAAATGTATAATCTTTCAAAAAACTTGCTGGCTCATGATAATCCTTCTGATTGATAAAGATTATGATGTGTTAAAAACAACACTGAGAAATCATTTAACCCCTTAACTGCCACGGGTGTATATTTATGCTCTGCTCAGTTGATGCATTAACTGCCTTGGGCGAATGTATATGCCCTTCCAAAAAATATACTGTACTATGATTTGCTTTGCGCTGCTGCCAGTACAATTATTCACAAAGCTTTGGAATGCAACACAACAATGACCTAGACAGAAGATGCAAAGAAGAATATTGTTTCAGAGAAGAGGAGGGGGGAGGAATTAGAGAGGGGGATGTTTCTGAAACAGTGAAAGTAATGACTGCGTGGTTATTGCTTCTGTTTCTGTTCGATTTAAACATATTTTTCTTTTTATTCTGTGTCCTCTATTTTCGTTTACTGTTTGTAATGAATGCTTTTTTTTTTTTTTACAATATGTCTGACAGTGATGACTAATGATTGCATGGTAATTGCTTGTGTTTCTGTTTGAGTAAAACATATTCTTTTTTATTCCACATCTTCCGCTTTCGTTTACTGTTTGTACAGTACAAAGTCTTTAATCCGGATTTCAAAGCTACAAACTTTCTGCGCATGCCTTGCATTTACGCATGCACGTTTAATGTATAACGGACGGTATATGCTAGCCTAAAATTATCTATTTCAGTTAATGTTGCAGATTGTGTTGTTCCTTAATCTTCTAATTGGATTCGGCTTATTATTTTTTGCAGACTGTTAGAGCAATTTTATAAAAAGTAAGCCTGAACTTTCGATTATGTCAAAAAGAGTTTCCGATTCTGAGCTGCCAAAGGATCTACAAAGCGAAAGCATGTTTCGATGTCCATCAAACAAAAAGTGGAATTGCTGCAAAAAATGGATAAAGGCATGAAGAAAGTGACAGAGAGGTTAGTGAAAACGAAAAAATTTTGATTGACAAGTTAGTCGGTATTCTCGGCATAGCAATTACAGGACTTGAACAGTGGAACTTTGTAACTGAACAAGAAATTATGTCTGTTTATAGAATTAAAGAGAAGGTATTATCACATAAAACGAAACAACTTACATTGAAAGAAATGTTTAATAAAGTAAACAAATAAACATTAAGCTTTTTTTTTTTTTTTTTTTTGTAAATTTTGATATCCTTTAGATCATAATTGCTCTTTATTTCATAAATTACGGTTTCATATTTTTCATTTTATAATTTCTGCATGCCATCTTACCAGATTTAAATTGATGATCTATAATCCGGAAAAACCCCTGATCCGAAATCGCTGAAGTCCCGATGAGTCTGGATTAAAGACTTTATACTGTAATAGGTCCTATTTTTACGACCATATCTGAAAGTGATAACAGTGAAATCGAATATTTCAGAATATGATATTACAGCAGATGAAGAGGATTGCGACTGTTCTCTGAAAGATGCTCAACGTTGGGTATGACTTGATGTGAAAAACTTGCTTATGGCATCCAACTAATTCAGATGAAATATATGTTTTTTTAGGTATACTGATTTCCCAAGGTATAATTCTGAAACCTGATATTATACCTTACGGGTCTAAAAATACATTGATCAAAACTCTATTTTTTGGGATCCTTTTTATTACATTTTTTTTTATTATACTTACATCTTCTTTATTATACTTCTAATCTAAAGATTAAATTTTATATTTTCATTTTTTCTTTTATTCTTTATTTTGTGAAAGTAAACAGTTTTTAGACAGCAAAACTTGCACTTATTTCCCCCTAATACATCACATAATTACACACACCTGTTTAAAAACCAGTGGCACTGGGGAGTGAATCTTGTATGTTTTCCGCAGCAGTTAAGGGGTTAAATCCTAAGCCACAAGGGGGGACAAACAATTAATGTGTATATGGCAGAGTTACAATCACTTGTCATACTGTGAGCTTACCACCAGAACATGCTAAACACATTGTTGCGAAATGCTTTTATGGGCTAAGAGACTGAGTCATTCTGGATAGAATTTTTAAGCATGATAATATTAGTTTAGATGACATTTAAAAAATAGCTTTGGCAATAGAGAAAGAGTTAAAAGGTGCAAACGAAATAACTGGGAAACCAGCAGAATTTAAGGAGTTTAATACCAAGAATAAAGGTAAATCGCAGTCACTTCAAAACAAAACTTCTCAGCTAGGAGTGCTAGAGGTAAAACGGTGATGCATAGAGACTGACCATGATAGAAATTCTTGTAAATTAAAGACAAGTATCTGCCTATTTTGTAAGTAAATCAGACACACTGAAAGAGCATGCTATAATGCTAAAAATGCTGATGTAGAAAATTAAAACACAGTTCCTATAAACAGTATAAATTCTAGTGAGGTGAGGTAAAAAATAGGAAATCGCCCATAATGGTCCAAGTGAACATAAAAGGAAAGCCAGTAGCTATGGAACTGGACACATGGGTGTAGTATAGGTAATGAGTTAAAAAAATTTCTGGCTAATTTCGAAAAATAAAATTCAAAATACAAGTCTAGTATTTAAAACATGGAGAAAAATTGATACCTTTAGGATTTACTACAGTTGATGTAGAATATAAAGGTCAAAATAAAAACTTAAATTTTTACATTGTTAAAGAAAACTTTGATACAATATTTGGTTGTGAATGGCTTTCAGAAATAAATTTAGATAGTTTCTGTTAGATTAGATAGTCAGTTTCTGTCTCTTAGAAAAGGAATTTAAATAAATTATTAGAACAATATAAAGAGATTTTTGATGGAAAATTAGGGAATAAAAAATTATGAGGTTCAACTCGGATTAATAACAAATGTTTCACCAAAATTTTGTACAGTTAGGCAAGTATCATTTGTGTTTAAAGACTGAGTAGATGAAGAAATTGATCACTTGGAAAAGGAAGGTATAATCGAAAAGGTTGAAACAATTGGAACGGGCAATTCCGGTACTACCCGTAGTTAAGCCAGATGAATCTATATGACTGTGAGCCAATTACTCGGTGACAGTAAACACAAATATTTTTATGCATCAACACCCTTTGCCAACCATTGATGAAATATTTTCATGTTTGTGTGGGAGAAAACATTTTTGAAAAACTGATTTTAAGCATGCTTACTTACAAATGAAAGTACACACAGAGACTCAAAAATTGCTGACAATAATGACACAGAAAGGATTATATAAGTGTAATAGATTAATGTTTGGGCTATATACAGCACCGGCAATGAGGCACCATTACACTGACGGGCTATTCCAAGGAATGGAAAGGTTAACGTCTTCATGGATGATGCGTGAGTAACAGGATCTGATGATGATGATGCACATTTAAATACTTTAAAAAGTTTCTTTGAAAAAAGTAAAATTTGAACACTAAAATTAAATCTGGAGAAAAGTAAATTTTTTTCAGGATGAGATACAATTTTTAGGTTACAAAATTGATGCTAATGGTTTACATAAAACCAATGGAAAAATATCAGCGATTGCCAGAGTCTTGAGCCTGAGAAACGTCCAAGAAATTAAAGTTTTTTGGGATTAGTTTATTTTTAAGGGAAATTTTGGCCAAATTTAGCAACAATCTAAAATCCCTTATACCATTTAATTAAGAAAGACTCAAAAGGCTTTGGATGATGGATTGTCAGGAGGTTTTTCTACACATTAAAAAAGAGCTATGTTCACAAAAAGTTTTGATGCATTATGATAAAAGATTACCCATAACACTGGCAACTAATGCATCACCAATGGGGTTAGGGGCAATACTTTCTCACAAACTCTCTGATGGAAATGAAAGGCCAACTGCATATGCTTCTAGAACACTCACTGAAGCAGAGGAAAAGTACTCACAAACTAATAAATAAGCCTTAAAAAAAAAAAAAAAAAAAAAAAAAAAAAAAAAAACTTCTTGAAAAGCAAGAAATTTATGTTAATTACAGATCATAAACCTCAGGTTGTAATTTTCGTCTAAAAGAAAGGTATGCCAGTTTTGGCAGTAAAAAGGCTCTTGCAATACACCTTGGCCTTTCAGTTCGACACTACCATAAAACAAACAACCATAGCAATGCTGACTTTCTATTGAGTATTGACAAAACTCAGACTAAACTGGTGATAATTACATCATCTTGAATAGATGATGTAATTATCACCAGGGTGGCAGGCAAAGGAGATTTGAGACCATCTAATTCAAGGATGGACATCTACATTACACTATAAATGTAGACAGTAAGCTATGGCGGCGACACGTTGACCAGATGCGTGATGGAGGAACCACTGATGATGATAGCTGTGTACACCATCCTACAGCTCTTGTGATTTCCAGAGAAGCGGATAAGAGTGGAGTCCCAGAACTATCCAAAGATAACAGCCACCAGGCAGATGAGTCGGTGTCATCTTTCGAGCCCAGGATTTTATGGGGAGTTCCATCCAATGGACCTGCTGCTGATAAAACCAGGTTACCAGACACCAGCTGTGCCACAACCTTTGCATCGGTCAACCAGAATCCGATGAGCCCCCCAAACAGATTGAACTTGTGATAAAGGGGGGATATTGTGTATCGAGATTATAGAACTTAATTGTAATCGAATGGAGAACTGGCACGTGCTAAGTAAGTGTGAACCGGGAAATGGGCTATGAAAGTCGGTTGTGGAGTTGTACGTGTTTATGTTCAGTGATGATGTTTTTTGTGTATAAAATAAAGAGTTTTGTAGTAAAGTGAATAAAGTGTCTTGTGAAACAACAAAACACAATATGTACCATCTCATTTTCACCTGTAGAAGAATGTCTAGAAATGTGCCTTCCTTTTTTCTTTTTAAGTTGCCTTAGACTGTGCAAACTAACTCCTCGCATTTTGCGCGATGTCATGGTTTTTGGTATTTGCATATTCATCACTTTTCTAACAGTTAACTTTTCAATGGACTGATAGCAAAAAGCTCTTTACAACAACTAAACACATACTTTTTCTAAATTTCATATAAGCTCGCAAATTAAAACCAAAAATATGTACCTATACATTATAAAAAATACATTATGTTAAATATGTATAACATGTCAGTTATACAGATTTTATATGAAATGCAACAGTGAGATATTAATGTTTTAATATTTTCACAATATTGTGAAAGTTTGTTTTATGTTGGTCACATATTTTAATATTCTCTGTGTATGATTTCCATAACTGTAGTAGATATACTTTCTATTAAATTTGAATGCGTATTCTATTTTTGGGAATCTTCTAAATGTAATAACTTTAATGACCATTTTGCTTGCCCTGATGTACCCTTTGGTGTCATCGTATTATGTTGGTCACATATTTTAATAGTCTCTGTGCATGACTTCCATAAATGCAGTAAATATACTTTCATTAAATTAGAATGTGTATTCTATTTTAGGGATCTTTAAATTGTAAAATTAATTATTTAATGAACACTGCTGCAAGATATTGTTTGAATAATTTGTTTTCCCTTTTAAATATTTAAACAGTATATAATACAATACCCTAACAAAGTACAATTATTGAAATAAGCAAATTTTCATACAGCAGCAAAAATTGTACTTACCACTCCCAGAATCTACATCTTTATCTTCTGTTTGATGATCATCCACAGAGTCTGAATCTTTCTCAGCTGCAAGAAAATTGATTTTTAGTTATCAAGATTACAATCAGATTACAGAAACAATAAAAACTGGCAGGAAGGAATAGTTTTAAATAAGACCACATTGCAGAAATTACAGGGTTGAGTATACCCAGCTGACATTTTTTAATTTAAAAAAGAAACCAACTACGTTGTGCTAAATAAATTCAATAGTGTAAGATTTAATCTATGTATGTTGTGCTATTGATACAACTACAAATACTTATTCCAAATACAAAATAATTCCATAATCTAAAAATACTGTCTTTTAAGTGGTCACTTTGACATAACACACAGTATTGCTATCTTGTTTTGATATTTAATATTATATGTAGCAAGATGTCCTAATCTGGAAATAGGATTAATAGCACCCACATGCCTGTTTCCAGTAAGCCAGGCATTCTGTTTCTTCATTTTTCTGCAACACATGTAGTATCAAAACATAGGTTTGAAAGCAGAGATTTTTCTTTTAGATATGTGATGTTACACTCTCAAAAAATTCAGAGTTTGTATACATTTCTGCCCATAGATATTAAGGATTTTTAAGGACTATGAATGATAAAAATCAAGTATCTATGGACAAACGGGAATTTAATAAATTAAAGCAATTCTCTATCGCTCAACTTCAGTTTTGTAGTACCATCCTAATTAAAACCGATCTGTAAGTAGGATGCATTTTTATTCAACATAATCTAACATTTAACATAATTATAAAACTAATTTGAGAATAAAACCAACTTGGTAGAATTTATCAGGTAATTAGCATTAAATTACAAAATTTCCTGAAACATTTATATTTTACACTTATTAATGTTTTAAGATATTACAAGTCCCACATATTTTTAAGATTAATGATATTTAGGGTTTTATCAGGGATAAATAGAAGGGCTAGGTTATTCCTTTGTTTGACTTCTCACCGACGTGAGCCTCATGGAGGGGATTAATTGGAAGTAATCTGACGTGTTTGTGTGGCACCTGCTCTGATTTCGCACATTTAAAACTGTAGTTTCATTCAGTTGCGAGACGATTTTTTAGAGGTCGCATATCCCAAATTAATTTTAATCACATATATTTGTTTTCTAAAAATGCAAATATTTTAAATAATTTGTGTGTATATATATAGTTTTAGTCAGTTTTCTTTTTAAATTCTATATTTAAAGTATCCTTTATGTAATATGGCTTCTTATGCTGTAGCAACATGCCGTAACACTTATAGAAATATGGAATGAAGATATATTGTATTTCATGCTTTCCCAAAGGACAATTTGCTTTTGACGAACATACATAAATACATAATACATAAATGTTGAAGACAGGATTCTATTAATGCGAAAAAAAGCAAGAACATTTTCTGTGCAGTGATTATGAAGATTACATGAGAAATCACTTCCTTGGATTGCCACAAAAGAAACTGATGAAATGCAATACTGTGACGAAAGTAAATTTATCGTGTGCAGTAAACGAAATAACACCAAGAAATCGGAGACATTTGAAAAGAAAACTAATGCAGAGTTCTTTTGAAAGACTACATGAATTAAGCCCAAAGAAAATTTATTTTGAGACCGAGAACGAAATTGAAGCTGACAATAATAAATCAAATGTGAATGATTTTGAACTAAAACTCACAAGTGACAATGCCCTAAGTGTAAAGATAAACAAGAATGTATTGATAATTTGAAGAACAAAATAATATCCTTGGAAAATTGTAATAAAATATTGAAAAATAGAGAAAGGAAAAATTTTAGAATGTTTGCTCAGTGACAAAGAAGGTGGATGACATCTAGAAAGAAATTTGTATCAGAAATTCAGAAATTATAATCTCAAACAACGAATTTTAGGAAAAAACAGCACAGATCGGAGCACCTGCCTCCTTAACCCCCACTTTTGAAAAATTAAATAATTTTTTTAGGTACTGTGAGTAAAGTTTTATGTCTAAATTAAGATAACAATCTTCCATGCATTTATTTAAATGTAATATGATGTAAGCCTAAGTTACAAAACTATTAAAAAAATACATGTTATTATATTGAATTGGGAGAAAAATACGCCAATGTAAAATTCACAATTAGGCTGAAACTCAAACTTAGATTAGCAGAAATTTTACCATATATAACCATATATGTTTAAAACTATGCCAATTTAAGGTTTTTTTATTCATTTTAAATAACTCTTATTATAGTTATCTTAGAAGCAGTAGTAGAGTTCTCTTAGTTAAGATGCAGATAAAGAAATAATTAAAAATAAACAGGTATTTAAAGAAAAAAAAATCCCTGCAAATTATAATAAAAAAAAAATAAAAAAAATGGAACTTTATGCTAAGAGTAGCACATTTTATCTGTTATTTTAAAACTAAGTAAGGACTATTAAATTTTTTAATATTCAGTGTGAAATGCATACTGTAGTAACATTGTCTCTTCCAAATTATAGCTATCGTTCACACACAGCTCATTTTAAACGCTGGTTCTTCAAATTTAAAATGCTAACTTCTATGTTGTCAATTGCATCTCCAGGCTTAGTGTCATCATGGCTACGTCCTCACTCCACGCTGCCTGTTTCAGGGGGAAAATCTCTATGAGCTAGCCCTTCTCTTTTAAGTCCTGGGTTTTTATGTTGAGTCTTTTCTTTTACGCCTCATTTCATCATAACCCTCTCAGTCTAGAGATTTATGCAGATTTTATGTCAAGCGGCAAAGGTTAAAATGAGAAATAAAATCATATTCAACATGATTCGTAGCAGAAACTTGGCTGTCCCCAATGCTTAAAGAGTGACAAAGCCTCTGATCAGAACAGATTTTGAGTGTCTGACTTTGGCATGATTGGTTGCTAAATTAGTTGAAAGTTAGTTGCATTTTGTCTGCATGAACAGATACTGGGCAGAAAAATGTACAATCCATATAGGTTGCACCTAGTGGCAAAATGCCAAGTGTACAGTGCAGTGACATATATGAGATGAATATTTTAAATTGCCAGTTTTTGATTCCTTATAAAAATTCCTTTCTTGAGATACCTGTCTTCGTGAAAATATTAGAACTATTTCTGCCATTCTCCATGGTTGTGTCTAACGAAAAGAAGACAAAATAAAGGGAAGATAAACAAGTTAAAGAGTTAATATTTACAGAAAGACTTCTAGGATCAAAAAATATAAAATTCAAATAATTTTGCTTTCACTGTTCTTACAAAAAATCTCAAAAAAAAAAAAAAAAAAAAAAAAAAGAACATTCATCACAAACTTCAAACACAACCATTATGCGTTAAAGCCATGAAGATTTTTTTATCTTTGTCTTATTTTTCTGTAATTGTAGGTCTATAAACCTTACCTTCAAATCTTTCTAAACCTTCTGAGTTGGATGGTCTAAAATCTGAAAGAAATTGATTTGGCATGATTGGTTGCTAAATTAGTTGAAAGTTAGTTGCATTTTGTCTGCATGAACAGATACTGGGCAGAAAAATGTACAATTCATATAGGTTGCACCTAGTGGCAAAATGGCAAGTGTACAGTGCAGTGACATAGAAAATTTCCAGTGAAAATTCCCTGAAATTCCCAGTGAATTGTGGCATTATTAGAAAGATACTATTTTGGGATCTGTACAAACTTTAAGAGCAAAATGTTAGATGATTTTTGAATTTATTTTTCAGAACATAAAAGTGTAAAATGAATTTTGCAGAGAAAACTAATACATATTTCAATATTCTGAAACAATTACACAGGGAAAAAACTCATGCCATAAAAAATGTAAAAGAAGACAAAATTAATTTTAAAATAATGACAGTAAAATTTTTGCTCTCGCTCCTCAGTGTTTCAGAAACTGCACTTAATAGCATTTATTACCTTACTTTTCAGAATCAAAATAGTAATTCACCAAAATGGAAAGTAATGCTACTTTAAAAATATGACAGAGGAAAGTAAAAATGTTGTCTCAAATATAATATGTATATATTATAACTATTTTGATATTTATCACTGCTATTATGTTTGCCCCCTCTCACCAAAATAATATTAAAAGAAAGAATGAATTATCAAATATATGTTTCTCAATAAATTTCCAAAAAATATTCCTTCAAAATATAAATTCACAGTCCAAATGACAGTCACAAAAATGGGCAGGCATGTCAGATGAATAAAATTAGACCTTTTATTGGTTTCAGCCAAAATTAAGGAACAAAAATCGTTTCCACAAAAACCTAAGGACTTTTAAGTTAGTATGAACCCTGAAATTCCCAGTGAATTGTGGCATTATTAGAAAGATACTATTTTGGGATCAGAGAGTTGTTACATTGCAATTAATAATTGTAACAGCTATGTTTCTACTTGGAACATCTCTAAATTTCATTAATTTAAAATAAAAATAAAAAAGATATATAAAGCAAGACTTTTCTCTCTCTCTCTCTCTCTCTTTTTTTTTTTCCTGAAATTTAAAGCTGTCAACTGTCAGTCCAATGCTGCAATTAAATTAATATGAAATATTAAATAATATCTTACCTATAGAATCCCCTTCTTCACTGAATTTTAAAAGAGGCTGAAAGATAACAAATGATACTTGAATTATTAAATAAACATAGTCAGTTTAGAAATGATGTACCCTTATTTTTTTAATAAAGATGGATATCAAATATTAGAAGAGGATGTTAATATGCTATAAATCATAACAGAATCAAGAAATAAGACAATGGAATGATAAGCTACTTAATAATAAATTAATGAGTAAACAATATTTGTAACTGCAATGGGGAGACATTTATCAAGTGATTATTGTTTTCTATTTCTTTTTTTTTTTATAAACACATAACATAATTGTAACCCAGAAAGACAAATGAAAATTAAGCTTTATACTTTGTTTAAAATACCATTAATTATTCCATAGTTACAGAACCATAACATGGTAACAGAGCAAAGGTACTAGCAAGGAAAAGTAGAGTTTAGCAAAGCGATATTTATAGAGTTGGTTCTTCTGTCGAAATTTTGGTCTGTGGTTGAAGAACAGCTGCCTCAAATGCACTTTACACAAGTTGATATGATGCAGATTAATTTTCATATGGTGCACTTTAGATTCCTATATTGTAGTTTAGGGTGTGTGTGTGTGTATTTAATTATGGCAAAGCACGCTAGGGCTATCTGCCTGAGGGGAGGGATGCCTTTCGTGGAGGACTTTCTAAGGGAAACTGGCTCGTATACACGTTACACATGGGGAAAACCACGAAAACGCCCATGCAGCCAGCCCGTTCGCGGGATTCGAACCTCGGACCGAACTACCAGTGTTCAGCGTCTTTACCGCTCGGCCGCTGGTGGGCTATTGTAGTTTAGGACAGGAAGGTGATGTAGCCATATTAAAATGAGGAACTAAAAGACTATTGCCAAATTAAAGGTCAACGTTTTCTTGAATATTTTTTTATATCTCACATGTATAGACTATGTAGCATACTGTAGTTTAATTTTTATTTCACATGTTAGACCGATGCCCACAGCACTGAAAATAGTGAATGCCATGATGAATGCATCAGATGGACATGAAGATGATACTGTGCATGAGGAAAGTCACAAATCCAGCAACAGTGACAACCAATGTGAAAATAACTGTGTATATGATTTTAGCAGGAGTAATGATAAATTTCTGGGATTCTTCAATGAATAAACGCTGATGTATTTGTTAATTTCTTAATGTAACAGTTCTGTTTTTGTTGTATAAAGTATTATCACTAAAATAGTCACTTTGATCCTGTTGCAACTCAACTCTTGCTGAGATCCGATGGCTGAGTGACGTCATCTCGAACTCTGAACTCTCGCTTAGAGATCACGAGAACTTGGAACTGAGAAGTCGCACGCTGTGACTTGCGAACATTTAAACCTTTTCATTATGTAAATATACTGTAACCGTTTGCGTCTTCATTAAATATGTTTGTGTTAAGAAAGTTTATCATTTATGGATTATCCCCTTCAAGATTTTGCAGGTATTCACAGAGAAGACAACAACCAGTGGGCCTGGCCGAACCCATTGGAACAAGGTAAGCAGTTTTGTTTTACCTTGATTAATTAGTTAGAAGTAACGATAAGGATATAAGTAATAATATCGTGGCGCCATAACATGGGGCCATTGGGTTGACCTTGAACTGAAATTTAATAGATTTTGCTTAAAGCAAAAACATGGATTTAGAAAAATTAAAAAAGAAACGATCTGCTATAAGAGCAGTAGTTACGAGGCTGATAAATAAGATAGAAACAGAAATTGCTAATGAGGGGGATAAAAATGTAATTGAAGAAACGGTTGCTCAGTTAATTATTAAAAGAAGAACTAATCTTAGTGGATAATGATATTGAAACTTTAATTGATGTAACAAATTTAGAAGATGAAATAATGTCTAGAGAAGAGTATAAAAGTAAAATTATTGTTTGGAAATTACGCGTGAAAAGATATTTAAATACTAATCCACATAGCGCTAATTCTACTTCATATGGAACTGTCACTGAATCGCAGAACAAAATTAAACTTCCCAAATTGGCACTGGAAACATTTTTGGGAAAGGATGTGTGCAGTTGGCCCGAGTTTTGAGCACGATTTGAGACAGCTGTACACGAAAACGAAAGTCTACATGCGGTAGATAAATTTAACTATTTAAAGTGATTTCTACTTCCGATGCAGAAACTGCAATACAAGGGTTGACAGGGTTCATAGCCACATTTTAGTTAAAGCACCTATAAGCACTTTTCAAGCACATTTTAAGAAAAAAATAAGCACCTGTCTAATTACATTATACACAACTGCATAACCTTAAAAGAAAAATTAGACTTGTAATTTAAAATATGAGCAATGCAATATTTATTAAGAGAATGAGCATTACCTCAACAATGGAAAACAATTAACTTTTTTTTAAAATTTTAAATGACAGTTCAATTTACAGAATTAGTTTACAATGAGAGGGGAAAAAAAAAACTATGCAGAACTTAACTATATTACAAAATTTAATGATGATATTTCAGTTGAAAACATAGAAAATAAATAATAATAAGTCATATTAATTGTATTCGTTTGGCACCTAATAACAAATACAAGTTATTTTTCCACTCATATTAATATTTAAATAATTTAACTTAAATCAAAATTCTGAACATTTTCTAAATTTTCACTGCATAACAGATTTCCCTTAACATATATCCCAAGCAAAGTAATTTAAGTAAAAAAGAGGCACATTTCTGAAATCAGAAGACGGGAAATTGCTTCATTCAGTCATCCTTTAACAGTAAAAGCTTAACTAACCAGCATACTCGGAAATTCCCAAATTTTCTGGATAGTAACTGGAAAAAGAGGAGTGGGGGAGATTGTAGCCGTTCTTTAGATTTAAATTTAAGCTAAATAAATTATTTTGATATTTCGATATGTGCATCATATAAAAAACAACGGAACTGAGAAATATTCTGCTTAGAACGCACAGTAAAACTCTTTTAAGTGTTCATAAACAAATCTCAGACTGAACATCAAAATTAATTACCAATGCAAAATACCGCAAGTGTTATTGCGCAATACGTGCAGCGTGATTCTTCCATATGTGATATTACGCAATCGGAATCAACACCTGCCGGTATTCGGAGAAAGAACTAAATAAAGGAAAAGAAAGAGACTTACTAATCCGGGGTGTTTCTGATTTTTATTTTCAACAGACTGTATTAAATTTCCGGAATAGAATCAATCTTCGCCTGGGTTGGGTAGACCACAAAAACTTTTAGTCCTATTCAATCCAGATTGGACAGTGACAAAAAAAAAAAAAAAAGTCCGCTGCTTCAATATTAGAGATTTTGCGGGGAAAATCCCAACCTCCGTACTGTATAATGTATTGGCAAAGAAAATGAAATTATTTTGACTATTCGATTACTTTCCTTTTATTTAAGATATTCCGAATATTATTCCTTAGAAAGCTAATCTGTGTAAAAACACACCCATTTTCGGAAGTTTATCTATACTTCAGCAGTTACTGCAATTATATTATTATAAATATTCATACATATGCTCATAATATAAGCATAACGATCATAATAAACATGAATATGAACTGACCACGCGGAACGAGAATGCAAATTTATTAAAATCTTGATAGAAATTCAAACGTGTGTAGTATTTGGGTGAGAGGAAAAGAACACCGAATGTACCGGAATTTTCTACGTTTTCGCAATTCTTTGGCCAATAGAACGACGTGCACCTGTCTGTACTCTCGCGCTCACCATGGGTTACGTTAATGCAGAGAAAGGGGGGAAAGCTATTTCCGGGAATATGATTCACCATCTGATGTTGCATATAAGGAAGAAAAGTTGTTTATTTACTTTCGGCTTTGGTACGGAAAAAAAAATGCGCGTTCATTAAAAACAAAGGATTAAAAAAAAAGCACTAAAAGCAAAAAATAAGCACTAAAAACGAAAAAATAAGGGCTTTAAAGAAAAAGTAAGCACCTATAAGGGCCTTTATACATTTTTTTTCAAATATAAGGACTTATAAGCACTTGTAAGGACCGCTACGAACCCTGGTTGACAGCAGAGAATTACGAAAAGGCTGTGAAAATATTAAAAGATCGCTTCGGACACAAAGAACTAATGATAGATACCCATATGAACAATTTATTAACTCTGACTCCGGTTAAAGGGTCTTGCGATGTGACAGCACTTCGAAAATTATATGATCGTTGTGAAGTACAAATTAGAGTATTAGAATCGTGCAATATTTTACCGGATTCGTACAGTACCTTATTGTATCCGATATTAATGAAGGTGATTCCAAATGATTTAGCACTAGAATTTAATAGGAAATATGAATGATGATAATCAGACAAAAATTACAAATTTGCTAAATTTTCTAAGAAAAGAAATAGTCTATTTCTAAGAATAGAAAAGTCGAGAACGTACAGGATTTTTAGTTAAGATAACAGATTCTGATGTCACTGAAAGGAAATCCCATTTTGAAAACAAGGCAGTTTTGAGAACGTTTTGGCGACAGCGAAAGAAATCGGGATTATAAAAAGGGTAGAATTCCTTCAGCGGCAGCGTTAAACACATCACTATCTAATAGCTGTTTATTCTGTTCTGAAAATCATACGTCAGAATCATGTCAAAAAACTGTGCCAGAAAAAAGAAAGTGTTAAAGCGAAGGGGAATTTGTTTCGTGCGTCTCAAAAGATACCATTTAGCGAGGTGTGCAAATCGAAACTAACTTGTGGTATCGACGATATCATACATTGATACATTCTGATGAAACGAACGCGTCAGACAAGAGTCCCGTCCAAAGGGCAGTGGTCTCCTCTGTTTCCGATTGCGCAACAGCAAATAACTCATTTCTTCTGACAGCACGAGCTGAAATTATAAACACAGGCAATTGGCGCCAACAAAGCGTTCGCTTGTTGTTTGATTTAGGATCGCAGCGAACATTTATTACAGAGGACATCTGTAAGAAATTAAAACTTCCTGTTATTGGAGAAGAAAAAATAAAAATATTCTCTTTCGGTTGCATGGCTTCTGAAGCGCAGAATGTTAAAAAAAAAA